TTTAATAATCAACGGGGTAATATTTGATACGCTGAATCACACCTTGGCGTTGGAAACCATGAAGATGGCGTCAGAGGCGGTGCGAGAACTACTAGCAAACGATTAGTTTGTCGGGGAATCGCACACAAAAAACACATGCACAGCCATGGACGTATATCTCCGCACACACACTCACTTTCTCTCTCTCTCTCACACACACGCGCGCGCGCGCAAGCAAAGCTACTTTCATATATGCACATGTAGAACTACGAAGTGAAGTACACGAAAACACACGAATATGTCGAAGGCCTTTTCGCATTTACTGCTTCATCAGGGCATACGGAACAAGAGTTACATAGACACCCTAATCCATAGAAGACCTGACGGCCTGGTATTCTCTGTGTACAGAAAACCAACTTATAAAGATGATTTTAAACACTATTTCTCTGCCCACAGCAATAGAACCAAATAGGCATGGTCATTGGTTTCTTCCTTCGAGCACTTAGAATCTGCAGCCAGGAGTTCCTAGAGGAGGGAATGCAAAACGCCAGTAGCACCTTCCAACACCTCTGTTACGCTTGCGCCTTGCTCGCCCAACTCCGACGCAAGGCAGAAAAAATCATGACCAGATCAAGAGGGGACACCACACAAAACAAGACACAGAATTATTATCTCACACTCACAGCTGACTTAACACCTGGAGGCCCTGTTGGGCCACACAATGAAGACAGCTACCACTTCTGGTAAGAAGATCGGAGATTCTTTAGGAAGAAGAGGCCAGATCACAGCAGACCTCTTAGCCAGGTGTACAGCATACCCTGTGGCGGCTGCGAGTATACACGAACGAACACGAACAACGAATCGACCAACACCGCAGCGCCTTCCGACGACATGACAAGAAGAGCGCCTTCGTTCACGTCGACACCGACGGCCATCTCCCTAAGTGGTCCCAGCCCTCCATCATAAAACAAGGCCTGCCCCCACGACAAAGGAAGATAGTAAAAGCGGCGTCCATATTTTCTACTAACAACTAACAACCGCAACGGGGAGCCATAATAGCCAAGGCGTCGTTCACCTGATTACCGACGTGACCTGACCGCCAAGTACATTAATATATGCCTCTATGTGTCTCTTGTTCTGTATGCCCTGATGAAGCAGTGAATGCGAAAAGGTCTTCGGCATATTCGTGTGTTGTCCTGTACTTCCCTTCGTTGTTCTACTTACAATTTGTTTGACATGAATTCCACACATATATTTACATTTACAACTCATACATGCAAACACACACACACATATGTATGTGTGTATGTATACATACACACACGCACACACACACACACACACACACACATATATATATATATGGGTCTCCATGGTCTCCTGGGAAAGCCTCCAGGATAGTACAGTGGTAACGTGTCGGCTTCTCATCCGAGGGGTCGGTGGTTCGCGCCCCGCCCAGGCGCGAGAAGTTGCAATTGTCGCCTGGGGGTTACTGCTGTGCCTGGGCACCACGGCGGGTAAGGACAAAAGCCGAGTCAGCACCTACTGACATACTGTTAGTGAGTCGACATTAGTCGACACAGGCCGGGCTCCCCTCATAGCCCGGGCAAGGCTCAGTTTCGCATATCAGACTTATCCTTATCCTACTGGGAATTAGTTGGAGCTGGCTGGCTATTGCACTGACGTCCGATTTTCTGTGAGGGCCCCCCAGCTAGCTGTAATGTGCCAGTCTATCAAGTGTCACGAGTTCCATGAGGATTGAGGAGGGCTCTCAACCTCACAGGCCCCAAGGTTAGGGATTTTCCTGTCTGCAACGCTACCTCGCAGTAACCCTGATGGTACCCACCTCACAAATATTGAGTAGCCAAATGTTTTTGAAGGCATTCTGTGCTTTCTATCCTTATGTTTAGGGCCACCACTTCAGTATCTGGACTGACCATCACTCCTTCACCCATGTGTTCTTTAGGCGCACAAAGAGACCAGGCTTAGTCGTTTTCCCCATGAGCTTAGTGAATATGAGTACACCCTCCACTACAAGCAGGAGGACAGTAACCATCTCCCATCTGAGGAGTCCTGTGCATGACCCTGAGCTGCCAAACCTCACCAACATGGAACCAGATGAGAGCATCAGTTGTGTGACCCCACATGTGATTTGTTGAACTGGCTAGAGGAACACCAAACCTGCAGCAGAGACATCCACCAGCAGTTGCGTCTAGTTTCGAAGTTGAACACGGGACCCGTATTACTTGCTACTCTTTTCAGAGAGGGTTATAAAAGCAGGTCTATGTCGCCTAGCATCTCCGGATTCAAGCCCTGCAACATCCTCACTGCCCACCCTCTGCTTCACACCCTGAGTTTTTATGCGCATATGTTATAATTTGTGCAACACCTGGTACTTTCTGGGCATACTCTGAATCTCGTGTGAGCAAGAGGCCAGCGGAGGATGGGTTCTGCTACACGTGGTAAAGTGCAGCAATAAAGCTGTCAAAGACGAACTTGCTGCCTTCGTCCAGCATTCACCCTCACAGTGGCCAATTTACTTACCAGTACTTCGTCTCACCCTGAGCACTGCCATACATTGTTCCGTAGGGGACCAGCACCTCTACCTCCTTATGGGGAGGATGGTACTATTTGCTAATGGGATCACGAATCGGCAGATCACTGATGAAAGCCTCATGCTGCAATGCTAGATATCTAGCTATAGAAGTGGGCACGAGGATACGGAAGGCGAATGAAGAATATTATAACTAGTCTGCCAAGATACCCCCACCTTTCGAGAGGGATCTCAGGTCATGCGTAAAGTTGAAACTGCCTTTGGGCTCCTTGGAGATCATTGGTTGGGATCTCCACAGCAACTCAGGTTATACACGCTTCCATCAGAACTGGACTTCGTCGAGGAAGGAGACCAACTTGCTTCCCCAGGACTGGTTATACCAATTGTGGCACTTCGAGAGGCGATACAGTAAATTTTGTGCTTAGTGTTAGTGTTGTCTTTTTTCTTATTTTTTTATTATTATTATTTTTTGTGTGTGTGTGTGTGTTGGTGACAGTGACATAGAGCTGACTTGATTCCATTGTGCTTGTCAATCGCTGTTCAGCCTTGCATGCCCTCCGTCCGGGGAAGGGTTGCAGTGTACCCGGAGGTACATCTTTTAAATATTTGAACTTTAATGAAAATGCATCTTGCCATGAGCAGAATATGTTAATGTATTGCTCCTTTCTTTTAACTACCATGTAAAGTACCTTGTCTCCCGCTCGTTTGCCATTATCCAACAGCTAGTCAATTGACCCCGACACTCAGAGCTGGTTGGACCTGTGTTTTGTGCTTGTGCCTCATATATATATTGAAAAAAAATCTTGTAACTTTTAAAACAATTTTTAGTGCTTGTAATTATTTCATAATCTAATTATTTCTCATTTACAGAATAATTCAACGATTTTTAATATAATCCTCGAAAAAACACCTCCGGACCGTTCACTACAAGAGCATTAAACCGAATTGAAACACGTATCACTCCTGCCCGATTTCCCCGCCTTTGCTGGTGCCGACTGCCGAGGGAGTGTGGGGTTTTGTTGGGCATTAATGATCATCTGATGCAATTTTGACATGTGAACTTGGGTGATAATTTTATATAATTTTAAAAGTATTTATATTTGTATTCTGTAATATCAATAATGTTAATGTCTTATAATTTTCAGAAGGAAAAAAGAAAAAAATCCATACGCTGATAACGGTTACGTGTTTTTATTACTTCTTTTTCAAATGATATAGCAATGCGTATTTGCGTGTTATGAGAGTTCCTATGTCAATTATGCCAAGGAGAAATTAGTCTTAAGGTTCTAGGGCAAAACATCTATAAAATGACTCACCGTGCACGCTTTGAGGGTTTCAATATAAAGCTCGGTTCACGCGCACTTCCATCTCAGTTGGGTGTCACCGAACCAAGCGAAAGGCCAGTCGATCATCACTCTCGTTTTATGATGTAAGTAGATGCATGTGTGTGTGAGGGAGAGAGTAATAATTAGTTAATAAGCAGAAACAATAATGATAATATTTTTAAAAAATAATTTAGCTTTAATCAATTTGTTACAATGGTTATTTTTATTGTAAGAGGCTGTCTGTTTATATTTGCTTCTAAATTACCCCATGTGTGCAAGAAATGGTTACCATCCACTGACAGTAGATAATTATTTATCTGTACCCTATTTTGATTGGAAAACAAACAAACAAAAAAAAGGAAATATAATTAACGATGGCACCAAAACAAAAAAAACAAAAACAAAAAAACTAGCTGTAAATGTTTAAACCCAGTCCTTCCCGCCCATAGTCTAGCGGGATAAAAATCACATTTGAAAAGGAGCACAATGTTATACTCTGCATGTAAAAAAAAAAGTTATACTCTACATGCACACAAAAAATCTATCTGAAATCCCGTAGGCATCGCCAGGGACGGTCCCCCTAAAGTTTACAACACTAAACACACATTTCCTCATCCCATAAGGTACGCAATGTTAACAGCGGACTTACTAATGCTGGTGTACGAAGTGTGTCACGAGAAGAAGCTGCGGGCGGCGAGGGATTACATCCTTCAATGCGCCGCCATACCATTGTGGTGACCAGCCCGCGGCAAGCTTCGGCGCTCCGTAGGACCTGACACACACCGTTTGGCGAGTTAGGGTCCAGTCACCACCACCAATCACCGCTTACCTCTCCGGACCTGACCAGGGAGTAAACATCGTGCCTGGCCCATTTAAGCCGCGGAGTCGTAAGCGACAGACACACTCATCGGCTTGACTCTGACCGTGACACACCTCTGTAACTCCAGCAATAAAGAGTTGAATTGACTACCGTGTGTTTACCTAAACCACACTGGTGACCTCCGGAGTTAAGAGTCCAGTTTAGCCATGAGCCTGTCAACATCTTTGAAGCCGCTACCTACCTGCACCATTGCCTGCCTTCCGGAATGGTTCCTGCAGGTGGAACAGGAGTTCCTCCTTCGCCACGTCACCTCTCCAGTCACCAAATATCGGATACTGGTGACGAATCTCTCACCTGAACTCCTCCTCTCCGTCAGCGACCTCATCAACAACTCCGAATACAATACCTACGAACGCCTCAAAGAAGCAATCCTGCGGCGTGCGGCGCCTTCCCCACGACACGCGTTACGCGCCCTCTTCACAACAGCGTCACCGGACGGCCGTACGCCCTCGGAAATACTTCGTCACATCCAACGCACTCTCGCCCGGGCCGACACACACCTGCCACCCGATATTCTGCGCTCGATGTTCCTACAGCGTCTGCCGGCGGCGGTGCAGACCGCCCTGCTAGCCTCAGAACTCCCCATCGAGCAACTAGCCTTGAAAGCAGACGAGATCCTCGCGATACAAAATAGCCCACAAGTTTCAGCTGTATCCACGACACCGTCACTAACCCTGGAGTCCCTCGCCGCTCAGGTCGCCGAGCTCACAACCGCCGTTCGTCGGCTCGCAACCCGCGACCCTTCACCACATCCCAGGCCCCGCCATCGCAGCCCCGCTTCGCCCCGTGCCAACCGCGGACGAGACTACACGTATCAGCACCGTCGAAACTACAACCGCCATCGCTCCCCGACCCCAGGTAGCTATTGTTTCTATCACTCCAGATTCGGTGCCCAAGCGCAGCGGTGTCAGCCCCCTTGCTCCTGGCCGGGAAACGGGCACCGCGGGAACTAATAGCGCCGGTCTCTCGCGGCCCCAGACGGCGCCTGCTCTACGTCCGTGACATCGACTCCCGCCTACGGTTTCTGGTAGACACAGGAGCAGAGGTCAGCCTTATCCCCGCATCGCACAAGGACAGGACCTCGCCCGCCTCTCGCACATTAGAGGCCGCCAATTGTTCTCCCATCAACGTATACGGTGAGCGCTCCATGACACTCCTTTTCAGCGGCGCCCCTCGTTCGAAGCTGACGTGGGTCTTCCTGGTCGCGGATGTACAGCAGCCAATCCTCGGAGCAGACTTTCTCGCGCATTACGGATTCTCGGTGGACCTTAAACGAGAGTCTCTTGTACACCAGTCAGGAGCCTGCACCCCCGCCGCGTCGGCCCTAGTACGAGTTCCCCGCATCTACACGGTGCTACCCAACCAATGTGCCTACAGAGCCCTACTTCGTGACTTTCCAGCGCTGACTAAACCCATCAACGTGGCTACATCACCGCCACACACTGTCACGCACCACATCGTCACGACTGGCCCACCGGTCCACTCCCGCTGCAGGCCCCTCGCACCAGATCGCTTCCGCATCGCCAAGGCAGAGTTCGAACACATGAGGGATCTTGGCATCATACGCCCTTCCAGCAGCCAGTGGGCATCCCCCCTGCATCTAGTACGGAAAAAGGACGGCGATTGGCGCCCCTGCGGTGATTACCGCCATCTCAACACAGCCACCGCGCCGGATCGCTATCCCCTCCCGCACCTCCACTCCTTCACACGTGAACTCTCTGGACGCACGATCTTCTCGAAGATTGACCTCGTCAGAGCGTACCATCAGATCCCCATCGCCGAGGAAGACATTCCAAAGACGGCTGTAATCACCCCCTTCGGCCTGTACGAATTCCTACGTATGCCGTTCGGCCTCCGCAACGCAGCCCAGACCTTCCAGCGCTTCATGGACGATGTCACCCGCGGACTACAAGGCGTCTTCGTCTACATCGACGACATACTCATCGCCAGCAGCAGTAGTGAGGAGCACAAGCAACACCTCTCCGCCCTGTTCGACCGCCTGCAGAAAGCCGGAATCGTCATCAACCCTGGTAAGAGTCTCTTCGGAGTTCCCTCTCTGACTTTCCTAGGTCACACAATTACCGCTGACGGCATCACCCCGGCTCAGGAGAAGGTCAGCAGCATCAGGCAGTTTCCTAGACCGACAACAAAGAGACAGCTTCGGAAGTACCTGGGTATGATAAACTTCTTCAGGAGGTTCATTCCCAGGTGTGCTTCTCTTCTGGCCCCCTTACAGGGCCTTCTCACCCGGTCTGGCCGCAGCAGAGACATCACGTGGACCCCCGAGGCGACCGAGGCTTTCGAGACCAGCAAGGATGCCTTAGCCTCGGCGACGCTCCTCAACCACCCACAGCAAGGGGCGAGGCTCAACATAGCCGTCGACGCCTCAGACACCGCCATGGGAGCCGTCCTGCAACAAGATCCAGGTAATGGTTGGCAGCCCCTGGCTTTCTTTTCACAGACTCTCAGCCCACAGCAAAGCCGTTACAGCGCCTTCGGCAAGGAACTACTTGCGGTCTACAGCGCCATCAAGCACTTCAGGACATATGTCGAGGGGAAAGAATTCCACATCCTGACGGATCACAAGCCCCTCACCTTCGCCCTGCACAACAGGAGCCGCCGCCAGTCCCCACGCGAAGAGAGGCACCTGGATTTCGTGGCCCAGTTCACCACGGACATACGGCACATCCAAGGCATCAACAACAAAGCCGCAGATGCCCTGTCTAGAGTATCGATAGCAATGGTAAGTGCCAGCAACAACCCCATCGACTACCATCTAGTTCGCAGGGAACAGCAACAAGACCCTTCTCTTCCCAGACTTGTCAATGGAGATACCTCTCTTCAGCTGGAGCAGGTGCAACTTCAGGACTCGCAGGACACCATCCTCTGCGACACCTCGATGGGCCACCCACGTCCTTACATCCCCCCTTCACTCCGTCGGCAGTTCTTCGAGGCTTACCATGCACATAGAGGAATTCGCGCAACCCAGGATCTCCTCCGCAGCAAAGTTGTGTGGCCGGGCATCAATAGAGATGTCCGGGAGTGGAGCCGCACCTGCATCGAGTGCCAGCGCAGTAAGATTCACCGACACACTAAGGCTCCCCCACAGGTGTTCCTGGTACCAGACGGCCGCTTCGAACATGTACACCTGGACGTGGTCGGCCCTCTCCCAGCCGATCAGGGTTACAGCTACGTCCTGACGATGATCGACCGATTCACCAGGTGGCCCGAGGCCACCCCTATCCAGGACATCACCGCCGCGACCATTGCCAAGACCTTCATCAGCACCTGGATATCGCGCTACGGAGCTCCTGCGACGGTCACGACCGATCGCGGGTCTCAGTTCGAGTCCGAGCTCTGGAGGCAACTGATGATTCTTCTCGGCTCGAAGCGCATCCGGACCACGGCATACCACCCCAGTGCCAACGGCATGGTAGAGCGCCTACACCGCCACCTGAAGGAGACTCTCACAGCTTCATCCTCCACGCGCCAATGGGTGGACCAGTTGCCTTTGGCACTCCTGAACATAAGGACCTCCTTCAAACAGGACCTTCAGTGCACCGCAGCTGAGATGGTTTACGGAACCACCATAGCCCTCCCTGCCGACTTCATAGTTAGCTCCGGAAATCAGGACCCGGGAGCTTTCGGAAAGCAGCTTCGCGACCGCATGGCCCGTATTCGCGCTCGTCCTACCCGACCTTCACGGCAGCGGGACATCTACTTACCACGCGACCTCCACGACTGCTCACACGTCTTCGTCAGACGACCCGCCAAGCCCCCCCTGTGCCCGCCCTACGAGGGTCCTTTCCCTGTCATCAAGCGGGACAGCAAGACAATCACCATTCGGCGTCCACGAGGGGAGGACACCGTCTGCATCGACCGCGTGAAACCTGCACACCTGCAGGAGCAGTGCACAATTTCGAAGGTTCGTTTCGCGACCGCTACACTGGAAGGGGAGTGCTGTGGTGACCAGCCCGCGGCAAGCTTCGGCGCTCCGTAGGACCTGACACACACCGTTTGGCGAGTTAGGGTCCAGTCACCACCACCAATCACCGCTTACCTCTCCGGACCTGACCAGGGAGTAAACATCGTGCCTGGCCCATTTAAGCCGCGGAGTCGTAAGCGACAGACACACTCATCGGCTTGACTCTGACCGTGACACACCTCTGTAACTCCAGCAATAAAGAGTTGAATTGACTACCGTGTGTTTACCTAAACCACACCATGCGTCTCAATAGTAGCTGCAGCTGCGGCTATGGGCCCCTTGGGCGTCTTGTTGGGTAGCTGTGTCCTGTTCTTCGTTCATGATGATAACGATTCTGAAAATGGTGGTAATAGTGACAACAACAGTAGTAGTAATAATGATTACAGGAACTCTCCCTTTTAGGTGGCGTACTAGGGTCTGTGGTCTCCTACACCTATGCCAGAGGGAAGTTCAAAAGCGTCGTTAGCATTATCAGGGACGACTTGACTCCTCAGGAAAGGGAGAGGCTCGCGATGAGGGTGCGGGTAAGGCTCCTGGCATTTGTGGCGCCAAAAGCAATCATGATGAGTGGTTATAGCTATTATTCTAATCATTATTTTCATGAACTCTGTCATTGTCCCCATCACCGTACATGCAACTTTCCTTATTCTTATAGAAACCACTCTGTTATCCACAATTTTCAATATTTATGCGATCCACAATAGCACTTCATATATACAGAATTAATGAATGGTTAAGGAGTATCAGGAAAATCCTCCATTAACATACAAATGATATGAAATACCTGATAAGTACGATAAACCTTCTTTTCATGATCAATGTTAGATAATATCTATACATCTATTTTTATGTTTAGATATTCCAATTTCCTTGAAAATGATTTGTTAAGTCTGTGACTTCCATTAGACACGTAAAAAGATTTAAAAGAACAGCTTCAATTGATAAGTAATTCGTTCGCCTCCTTCCAGACCGCCTTCGTAGATCTTGGAATCTCTGTCGGTGCCTCTGTGGCCTTCCGTCACCTCACGGAGCCCATGAAGATGGCGATCGCCGCTATTGTCAAGAAGTACTTGGAGTGTGACCACAACATGACAGTAAAGCCTTAAATGCCTAAAAGACTGTTCAGGTGAATGGTACGAATGGCGGTTTCTTTTTTTCTGTTTGAATTTGTTAGCGAAGATTGGTTCGCTGTTGGTACCACTGTTGGAGATTCGAATTATTATCTGTTTGAGACAAGACTGTGAAAAAGACAGTTCCTAAATAAACAAATAAAATTATCAAATATTGTTTAATTTGATACAAATATCGGTATATAAGAATAATCAATGTTTGAACTATTAAATAAAAATCGAACTTCGGTGTTGAAAGCTAAAAGGTCTCTTAAAAAACATATTCTGAAATACTTTTTGAGTTTATAAGTTGCCATTATCTTTAGACAGTTTTTTCGATGAAGGCATCAGTCTCACGTTACCATTTTCTACAGTTGTTGCCATGAATACGATTCAAGATAAAAGATATTGCAGTCAATATATAACCTGGCTCTTCTCTTGCAGTCAGGGAAAGCGGCCCAATGTCTGCCTTATAGGGAAGGACGCGAAATCTATCCTGTGTGGTTGATAAACTTTACTAAGGACGGTGTGGCAATCTAGGCAGAGGAGAGCCGTAGGGAAAATACTTTGAATATTTTTTTCATACTTTACATCTTGATATGGAAAGCAGGAAAAACATGTGACAATTGAAAAGGAGATTTTGTCTGGTAGAAATTTGAATTTGCTATTGAATTTTAACTGTAATTGTCAGTGTAGCAAATAGCCAATGTTAGTTTACATATTGCGCCATAAATATTTTGTTTCCAAGGAAAACATATGACATTTTTTCCCCAGCTCCAACAGTCTTATCATTTTCATTTTTATCTCTCTGCCTTTCTTTATCTTTCACTTCCAATCACGCACTTCTTTCTCCTTCTCTTTCCTCCTATTCTCTTCTCCCTTCTCTCCATTCTCTTCCTCGTCGCTTTTATTCTTCCTCCTCTTCCCTTACCATTTTACTGGTTTCTTTAAAGGCCAAATCTACATATCCATAGCCTCTCTATATAACGTTATGCATGAATGAATTTGGCACACCTTTTACGAACGTCAGGGACATGAATTTACATGAATTATGGATCTTTTCATTATTATCATTATCATTATTATGATGATTATTATTATTACTGTTATTATTTATAGTAGTAGCAGTATCATTATTATTATTGTTATTATAATTAAAAATGCTATTGTTCTTATAGCTGTTATTACAATTATTGTTAATTTTATAATTTTGATGTCACTGTTATTGTTATTATTATTCTCATTATTACTATTATCATCATCATCATTGTTAATTACTATTATTATTATTATTTTTATCATGATATTTATATTTACTATTATTTTCATCATGATAATTATTTTTACTATTATTATTATCATTATTGTTATTACAATTATTATTACCATTATCAGTTATTATTATTATCATTACTATAATTATTATTATTTCTTTCATTATTGTTGATGTTATCATGATTTGATGATCATCACTGCCATTACTATTTTTAGTATTATTATCATTACAATTACGGTGTTGTTAATATTACTATCATTATCATTAACGATAGTGATACTAGTACTAGTGATGATAATAATAGTTGTAATAGTACAAATTATATCATTTTCATTGTTACTGATATTATGATGTTGTTGTTATTATCATTATCATTATTATTGTTACTGTTATCATTATCATTGCTGTTGTTGTTATTGTTATCATCATCATCCTCATTCTCACCATCCTCCTCCTCTTTCTTCTCCTCCTCATGCTCGCCATCCTTATCATTATTATCACACTAAAATGTACAGACTGTTAAATAATCCTTTTATTGCATGCAATATTTTCCCTTCACGCATCATGGTTACCAGTGTTTTTTGTTTGTTCTTTTTTTTCCTTTTACTTGACAAACAATAAAAAAAACGATATCCCCGAGACGCATTCTGTGCAAGAGGAAGTTGCCAACTCGAGTAATTCTCAAGCATCTTTAATTTTTAAAAAATCGATATTGTTTTCGAAGTTGTGGCGATTATTCATTAGCAATGAGAAGTATGACAATAAGATCGATAAATACATAATATTGTAAATAGATTAATCTCATCATTACGAATATTAGTAATGAGAAATATGATTGTTATGGTAGTAGCGACGATAAGGATAGTAATAGAAATGATAATAATGGAACTGATAATTATAAAGGTGTTGATAATCATGATGAAGATGATGAGGAGGAGAATAAAAATTATGACAATAATGACAACGGTGATAATGATGGTGATAAAAATCATGAAAATGATAATAATAATAGTAATAATAAATGACAATAATCTTACTTCTGATAACAATATCAATGTTAATAATGGCACTAAATATGGTAATAGTAATAATTTTACTGGTGATACTAATAATAATTATGATACAGCTAATAATACTTATAATAATAAGTTATAAAATAATACTTATAATAATAAGTCATAAGATAATACTTATAATAATATGTCATAGAATAGTACTTATAATAATAATAAGTTATGAAATAATAATTATGTCATAAAATAGTACTTATAATCGTTATAAAATAATACTTATAATAATGTTATAGAATAATACTTATAATAATAAGTTATGAAACCACTTATAATAATTAGTTATAAAATAATACTTATGATAATAAGTATTGAAAACAGTGACGATTGAAATGATTTGAGATTTAAGAATGACATTAAAAGCTGAATACATATTTAAGAATATTTAAGCTTTCAAGATTAAAGATTAAATTAGCTTTTCTTATTTGTCAGTGTATTAAAAAAAAACGTATAGTAATATATCTAAATTCCTTTTGTCTTCATTTCTACTGATCTGTCTCCCCCCCCCCTTTCTCTTCTACCTGCTTGTCTATTAATCTTCTTCCCTGTCTTTTTTTCCCCCTCTCTAATCTCCTTCCCTCTCTCTCTTTCTCTCTCTCTCTCTGTAGATAACGTATAGGAGAAGAAAAAACACCGTGAATGTATAAAAAACTGTATTTCGTTGAAAGACGCGGAGGAAGAGGAACGACTTTTGATCTCCTTAGGGTGGCAGAGGGCGGGATCCACAGTCGACCTGGAAGATGGAAAGATAAAGATGTGACATAAGAAATGATGAGTAAAATGCAGAAAATATGATGGTGGAAAGGAGAGCGAATGATATAGTCTTAGTGTAGGTCCGTTTAAATGGTGTATTAAGTTATATCTTGTTTTGTTCGTTTGCTAAAGGTGTTATGGTAAAGACGAATGAGGGAAAAGGAGAACAAGATGAAAAAGGAGTTGCATGTTGATGCATTAATTAATGAACGCCAGTAATGACCTCTCCAAAGACACCGTAAAATATATTAAATATAAAACTACAAGGGAAGGAGAAAGTAAAAATAGCTAAAAGTATATTTAGGTAGATTGAGATAAAAAAGGGAGTAAAAAAATAGATATAGATAGACATAGACGAACAGAGAGACAGACAGACAGAGAAAGAGAGAAATAAAAAAATGAGATCGAAAATATATTTCCAGTATCTTTCCGTTCACTAGCACAAGACCATTTTTCAGTGGAATGCGAAATCGAAGCATGGGAACGAGAACGCTGTACGCCTCATCAAAGTCCTTGAAGAACTGGAAGTGTGAACAGAAATGTTTATATATATATATATTTCTCGTTTATGTCTGAATTTAGGATGCTCTTTTCAAAAGTTTGCGAAGAAGGTTCGAAGGATTTTCTTTGTTTAGGCCTTTTTTTTTTTTTTTTTTTTTTTTTTTTTTTGGGTGGGGCAGGGGGTATTTTTAGTGGGCAAGATAATCGGAGATGAGTTTATTTCATTTTCTCGTGTAGCTATGTCTGCCGCACAGTCTGTGGGAATATGAGTACAGAAATACGGGGATGTATTCATACGTACATACGTGCACATGTGCTCTCACGCAATCAGAAACACACACATACACACACACACACACACACACAGATACATTCATATCAACACCAGAACTGATAATGTAGCGAATGATACATAAACACTTAAATCAAGAATAACAACCATGCTAAAATATCCACACACATGTACACACATAAACACCTGCAGCGAAATCGAAATGTAGTATACACACCCTATTCACAGTCACGCAACACGCATACAAACATATCTACGAGTCGCCTTCCATACACAACTGTTTAAAAAAGATTAACATTAACACAGCACACACGACCGCGTGGCTCGACCTCTTCCCGCAAACACAAGATCATTATGAGATTCAAGGAACAGCTGCTGTTGACCTGACCCAACAGGATGTAGGTGGGCGGCCCCCTGGGCAGGGGCAAGGGAAATATGACCCTCAGCTGCACAGAGAGGTCAGCCCCAGGCCCTGAGGGCCCGCTGCCGGCGACCACGCCCTAGGCAAGCAAAGGGAGGAATGACCCAGTGTCTCCAGGAACAGGCAGAACAGGTCAAGGCCTCATACAAGCAACACCTTCCCTTCTTGCCTCCCGTAGGAACCTGACGACGCCCTATCTGCCACGTCCATATCTACCAATCTATATCTCCGTTACTCCATGTCTGCTTAACAATAAAGTGTGTTAACAGATACTGAGTTTTCCTCTGGACCTGCAGATAATATAGTAGATTTCTATATAATTGAATTAGAGATCATTATAGCTGGTGGCAGCGGTGGGATGACTGACGTTCCTGCCTCCGCTCAAGATCGTCGTCGGCAACTTCTACGGGACCGAATGAGTACACAAGGACTATTTTCCTTTCTTCTGTTCCCCCATTTGTGTATACTACGAGCCAGTCATTATTATATGTACAAGTGCTTAGGTCCGTAGGGAAACGGGAAGTCGTGTTGTGTGTGTATATGGGGAATTACTGCGAGTATTTTTTCTTCTCTTTTCATCTGATAACGTAGTCGCGATTTTCAATACAAGTGATTTTTGGTGTACTGTTGTTAGATTCTTTCTATTTTATAATTTCTCTGATGAGCTCCCCTCCATCTGATAATACTCGTGCTAAGAAGTCGTTTGGCGTGAAAGCTCTGCAGACTTTGCTTGGTTTCTCCCCTAAGGCCTCGGACTCTTCTCATACTTCTTCTCCTTCACCATCTACTTCTGATTTAGTTTCCCCTCTTTCTCTTGCCACTAAAACCGGAAACATTTCCTCTCCATCTCTACCC